GCTTCACACTTTCGATTTGCATACTCCAGTTCATCTCTAAGTTCTTGGATTCTCTTGTCCATATCCTCCTGCAAAATTGCAAATGAAAAGACAGTTAAAAACAGGCCTAAGAGCATCATAATAGAGATATCTTGTTGCACTGCCATATCAGAAATGAGGGAACTAACAGACATGCAAAAAATCTCAAAAGAAAACCTACAATGCACCTGAAAAGCAATACAAGGTTTCACTCTTACAAAAGAACGGAAAAAAAAAGAAAAAATTCCACACCCAAATCTGCATTGGACTTATGCTGGTCAAGAAGCTTTCTTAGTTAAAAAAATAGATATAGAAGGTCATTTTAATATTCACTCCATCTTTAGCATGTACAAGTTTAGTGTCCAATATTTCTTTCCTTTCTTCCCCAATTTTTTGCATACTTAACAACTTTAAGTAAAAACTTTTAAGTTGAGTTACAAACTGTACGTGTTTTTTGCCTTGACTTCTCCAAAACATCTACCTATAATTCCATCAAGTGAAGTAATTTTATTTAGGATTTCACAGTGAAGTCACAATGAAGTCACCACAATCAAGTGATCTAGATTTCCCTGATGCATGGATTTGAACCTTGTATTCATTCAGGCACATCTACTCAGGGCAATAACTCAATACGGGTCTTCAGGAGGACAGGAGAACTTCTAGAAATTCCTAAATTCAGGATGTAATCAATTAATGATTCTAGTGAAATTTTCAAATTGAATTAAACGACCATGACCATAACTATGTTTTAACTGCAAAAAGAAAAATATCAAGGGCTCTTAAACAACCAACCGTGCCAAAAACCTCAGATAGGGACAGAAAGCTAATTGGCCGACATGTTTACAAGGGTTTCAAAAGCTTGTGTGCACATGCATGGGCAAAGGCCTGAGATTGTCGCTTTTCTAGTGATTGTCATAACAAGGAGGATGAGATTCTGAAAGAATCATAAACTCAGATGCCATTTGATTACTAAACAGAAGCTAGTCATGAGGATTTTCGGGTCAAAATTTTGAGTCATCAGGAAAGAGAGGAAGTTTAACATTTAGCAGAAAAGCAATTTAGTAGGAGAGCTAAAAGAACATAAAATGAAGGTAGAAAATGGTGTATAAACATAGGTCTGAGGAGAAATGAAGCAGGATGCAGTGGTAAATGAAATCAATTGACATCATGTTATTGCAAGAAAATGGATGAAGCATGAATTGTGGTAAATGGAAAATGATTCTAACCTCTGACAAAAGTTGGCCAGAGCTCCCCAGATGATTCCCACTAGTATAATTAGCCCTAATTCCATTGCTTGCTGAGTCCCCTCTACTACGGCTATTCACAAAACTAGTTCTCCCCTCATTCTTTGTTGCCCGTGCAACTCTTGTTGTGGCCTCTTGCAGAGCAACCATTGCCACATTGTAAGTGCCTAGGGACTTAGATCCTTCATCTACAAATTTGAAGGCCTCATGGCGTAGGGTGTTATACCGAACAGTATGAGATTCGAGATAGCCAGTATATACATCAGTAGGGCGTTCTTCCAATATGACATTGCTCTTGGCATTTCTTGTCCATCGTTTCAAAATGTAGTGAGATGGGAGGGTAAGCACGTTGGTCACTCTAAAGACTGCCAACACATGTCTGCATAGAAGACCAGAGAACTCAAACATCTGGCAGCTACAACTCGCCTTCATCTCCAAAACATTGAATTTAACGTAGTAAGCTTTATGGTCTTCCCCAAACTTAGCAACTTGGTAAGTAATGCTCTCCCCATCATCTTCTGCTTTGGATGCCATGAAAGTTAGGGTCCCAACTAGCTCCTCTTGAAATCTCACAAACAATTTTCCAGTGTAAAGCCCAGATGCTTGTTTCTCCATCGGAGATGGGGTCTTCAAAACTGGTTTTGTGTTCATCGTATCATAATCTGCTTTTACTTCTTTCTCGTTCCGACTCTCAATAGCTTTCTCATACAGCTTAAAGAAATGGTTCAGATTGGTTGAAGCATTCACATAACCATCGAAGTATGAGTTCATGCTATCACTTCGCTGGGTTATAGACATCTCTGCAAAAAAAGTATCCCGCAAATACACAGGGACCCACTGCCTGCGATCAGAATATATTGTTTGAAGCCACTCATGATCCCGAAGTTCATATCTATCAACAAGCGACAACCAACAGGATTCGAATTCCTCGATCGACTCAGTTAAGTTAACACATTTATGAAAATCTGCCTCAAAACTTGGATGTTTGAGTAACACATGGGACAACTTCTCCTGGCATTTCTTGAAGATATGCCATTTGCAAAAGCGATGGCGGGTCTCGGGGAAGACCTGCATGATGGCTGATCTTATCACTGCATCATGGTCAGTGGTGATCGACATTGGATGACGGCCAGACATTGCTCTGAGCCACGTCTGAAACAGCCAAATAAATGATGCTTCGGTCTCATTCAATAGGAAAGCACAACCAAACAAAACAGGCTGTCCGTGATGGTTAATTCCAGTGAAGGGCGCAAAGGGCAGGCGATACCTGTTGGACCTGTAGGTGGTATCAAATGTAACAGTGTCACCAAAATAACTGTAGTTTGCCCTGGCTCTTGGATCAGCCCAAAGCACATTGCCCGTAAACTGATCATCATCCCCCTGGAGAGCATAAAAGAAGTTGGGGTTCTCATTGTTCATTTGCCTCAAATAATCCAAAAGGAGCTGGATGTCTCCTTCCATGCTCCTCTGACGATTGTTCCTCATGTAGTTCCTGCAATCGACCTCTGTAAATCCAACTTTGCTAATTCCACCATACTCCTTAATCAAGGCAGACATAATCCTACGAGGGCCCATTCCAGCAGCCTGCAACGTATCAATCAAGGTCTTAGCAGGACCAGATATTTGCCTGTGCGAACGGAGGCAATGCACCTGATCAGGAGGGACCAACTCGTGATTATGTCCCCTAACAAAACCGGAGACAACCCATTTGCCAGAATCCTGCATTTTGACAGACAAGGAAGCTTTGCAACCGACTCTAGTAATAACACGGGGGCGCTTGATCTCTCTATCCTTGGTACGCTTCTCATTCAGATTCCTAAAACCCTCTTTGGCACAGACAAATTGTCTCTGAATAATAGCTCCATCACGCCTGGACCGGCGGGATGAGCTGACACGGGTACTAAAGCCGACACGCCTGGCGTAAGAATTGTAAAAGGCTTTGGCAGCCTCTTCGGACTCAAATTCCATGCCCTCATAAGGCTCAAGATCCAAAAGGTCAACCTCAGGAAGGTAAATTTGAGAGGCAGGAGTGGAGGTGGAGGTGGTAAGAGAAAGGGGAGGAGTGGAAGGCAAGTCGTCATCAATATCGATGTCAACAGCATCATCATCAGCCCCACTTCCTAAACCAATATCGAATTCAAGAACCTCGTTTTCCATGTCCAATTCAATTCAATTTTTTTTTTAAAAAAATAAAATTATGTAATGAAATTAAACTAACATTTACATATATAATAGTCTTAAAATTGAAAGGAAGAAGTAGCACAAGTAGTAGTAAGTAGTAGAATATAAAGAAAAGAGGAACAATTGGGGTAGAAAGGAAACAACTGACCCTCACATAGAAACTGCTATTGATACTGATATAGACACCGATACAGCTCCCTTTCTTTGCTTCCGCTGTGTTATGTTGTGTTTTCGATGGGAAATTTAGGTAGGGAGGGGGAAGGAGAGAGCGAGTTTTCTAGAGTTTCAAGAAGAAGAAGAAGAAGAAGAAACCCTAGAATAATGAAAAAAAGAGGAGGAAGCTTTTAATAAATTGATACTGAAATTTGTAGGAAATCGTTATAGTTGTGGCTTGGGTCAGTGCCCTGTGAATTGTCATGATAAAACTAAAGAGTGGAGCAAGAGAGAGAGCAAAAGGCGGAGGAGGAGGAGGAGGAGGAGGAGAGTGGTTGGTGTGAGTGCCAAGAATGCCAAAGGCAGTGTTGGATTATTGAGGAATTAGGAATTTAGGATGGAGGGAGAAAGGGACGAAGAGATGAGATGGTGTTTTTCTATTTTTTGTGCTCTATATATCCATTCCTACCACTTCAACAGGGCCGTTTGGTTAGTAGAAATAGTAGTATTTATTTGTTTTCTATGGAAGTAGTAAGGGAGGGTTGATGATGGGCCTTTTAAGTAGTTACTCTGAACCGGAACTGACAGAATGGGTCCACTCCTAAGGCCCAACCAAGCCCATGAATGAAAAAAATCACTCCCTGCCCACGCGTGCTATGAATATATATATATGTCATCATCATTGTCATCTTCACCTCGCTATTGCCTTTCCTGCTTACATTTGCACAATATGCTTTTAACTAATTATTAATTTGAAGCTATTTTTACATACCAAACACAGAATTAGTCTCCACATTTACCTTTAGCTTTCCCTTTACCTTTACTCAAACAAACAAACTACGAGTCAGTTGAGCAGACTTGGACCAAGTGGCGTGGGGGTGAGTGAAATAATGCCACACCCAGGAAGGGGTACTATTATTTTTCTTCCTGTCATTTTTATAATTTAATTATTTTCCTTCCTTATAATAAAAATATTTTGGCCTTTTTCTTTCCTAAATTTTTGTTTGATTTCCATCCACCTCAACGACTGACTGAGTGAAGGGAGATAGCAGCAGTATCTGCAAGTTTAAAAATAACGTAATAATAATCCAATTCACAGATAAATAAAATAATAAGTATAAATAAATTTGTATGCACTACGTGTCGTGTGGGCCTCTGTTTCGGCCTTTTGCCGTTTTAAAAATTACCTATATCAAGCTAGGGTTTCGGTTTCACACCCCCTTTCTTTCTCTCCTGCTTCTCTTCCTCGATTTCTTTCTTTCTATCTTTTCTTAATAATAACAAAAAGTCTCTAACTTTTGGTTTAGAGGTTTTCATAATCATCATCCTAACCAAATAAAAAACATTTATATTTTTATATATATGACGACAAGTAATAACAATAATACTAATAGTGAAGAAAAGATGGTGGATACAAAAGAAGCAGCAGCCAAAGATACGGAGTCTGCTCCTAAAAATCTCAAACCGGAAGGTGAAGCGGAAGGAGAAGGGGAAACCGAACCCAAACCCAAACCCTCCACCGAAGACCCCAAGGATGTTGATACTGCTCCAGCTCCTGCTCCGAATCTGACTCCTGCTGCACTCTCTCTCAATGATTCATCTCGGGAGGAGGAGGAGGAGAAGGAGAAGGAATCGCATCCTGATAATACCCAATCTTCGGCTGACGTAACCGATATAAATGCTGCCACTGCTCATCCTCATGATGCTGTTGCTGATGCTGCTAATGCCAACAACAATGACGCTGCTGCTCAAGATTTCATCAAGTCTGAGGAAAAGGAAAAGGAGGAGGACGCCGTTGATAATAATATTAATGGTAATAGTAATAACAAGGATCCTGATGATGAACCTAACACTGATGCTGCTGATGTCAAACACCTTTCTTCTGCCACTCCCAAAGATGATGATGAGGCCTTCAATCACAATGAATCCTCCTCGCAACGCAAAGCTGAAGATGATAACAATGAAGGCGAAGAAGATGATGTTGTAGCTCCTACAGCAATTAAGAAGGAAGTTCCTAAACCACCCAAATTGGATGTTTCTCTTGCCCTCAACACTCCACCGCTGGCAACACTAACCCCAATCAAGTCTTTCCTTTTGGATTCTTCTGCTGATGGTTACGAGTCCGGAACTGACCAAGAGCAAGCTGCTTTTATGAAGGATGTTGAATCTTTTCATAAACAGAATCACTTGGAATTCAAACCCCCCAAATTTTACAAAGAAGAACTCAATTTGCTCAAGTTAGCCCCTTTCACTTTTTTATTTTCCTTGTTTTTTCTTATCTTCCATCTACAGTAGCATCTCATCATTGTCCTCCTTTTTACACATTCCACTTAGGTTATGGAGATTGGTGATAAAGTTGGGAGGCTATGAACAGGTTTTTCTGAATTTCTCTTTCCCTGAACCTAGGCCTTTCATTTTCATATATTATTCATCTATTTGCAATTAATCAGATTTATTTATATTTAAGTGTCTCACAAGTGATTTAGCATCTGATTATTGCTGCTACGAAGTTATCATAGACTTGGCTTTTCGGTTGTGATCATTTGCAGGTGACATCATGTAAATTATGGCGGCAAGTGGGAGAATCTTTCAGACCACCAAAGTAATTTCCTTTTATTTTGTTTTTATCTATTTTTTTATTTTTATGCATAACTTTTTTCTTTAGTTGACATCTCATATCTGTATTGTTGGTTAGTTCTGTGCTAAGGATATAGAAAGCAATTCATATTCTTCTTTCAAATTTGTGTAAATTGTAAATTACTGTGGTTTAACTTCCAAAGTTATTTATTTTATGAAGTGCTTCTATTGGTAGTGATTTTCCTGAGTTTGCAAAAGTATAGGCAAAGGAAAAGAGCTGTCCCTATTACTGGACACCATAAGTCCAGTTAATTAACATGAAACTTGATGCCCTTGCTCTTGTTTGACAATGATGATCACTTTTCTATTGCGCTCGTGGAGAACGTAGTTATATTTCTTATTGGATACTAATTTTGAGTTTTTCGTCATGTTTGAATTGCAAAGGACCTGCACTACTGTCTCTTGGACATTTCGAATCTTTTATGAGAAGGTTATGCTTTAATCCCAAACTTTTTTCGTTTTCTGAAATTTAGCATCTCACCTTTCCAGTTTGTTTCTCTGCCTTGTTCTTGGAGTTCATGAGCATCGTTTTTTCAGGCATTACTTGAATATGAAAAGAATAAATTGAAGAATGGCGAGCTACCTTTTTCAGATGGACCCTTGACAGAGTCTATTAGGGCTGAAAGTCAGGTAACTTGTAATAGCTAGCTGTGTTGATTTTTACTTATGTCATTTGCATGGGAAATACATAGTCTCTCATCTCTTTGTGGCCTGAATGCTGTGACTCTATTTCTCAAAGGGTCATGTATCAATAATGCTACATCTGCTTTGGAGGGAATAATATTGTATGTCTTCCAGATTTGAATACAATTGAGCAGGTCAAAGGTGGTCTTCAAGACATTTTATAGGCAGAGAGTATTAGTTGAAGGTTTAGGAATCAAAGTTTTGCATTAGAATTAGGTGTTCATACTGTTCATAGGTTTGAGGATGATGGATTGGAAATCTGTAACGGCTGTATTTTTGTTCTTTGAGAATAATTATGATCAGGTATGGTTATTCTCCATTTTATGTAATAAACTCATGGATTTTATGTTTTGCCCAGACATCCTGTAATCTGGGACTGACTTCTAGTTATTCAATGAGGGATGCGATCGAGATTTTTATTCAAGAGATAGAATTGCTAATCAAATCAATGAGGGATATCCTGCATGCGGATGATATGATGAAAGTAGACAGCTTTACAGGATTCTGATCATGATGTGTTGGAAAACAGGGAGGCTGTCTTTTATAAGAAATTAAGATAAGCCTTGGTGTGAGGTTTTAAGGATTCTGTCTATAGTTGCATTCATTAGGGATCATTTGTTTTAAGTCAGGATTTAGATGTTATATCCTCAATGGGGGCTACGTGTTGGAAAACTGAGTTGATTCTTGTAGACTCATTAACTGATTTCAAAGGTCTTAAGGACTTTGCTAGTATGGAGATGTGCAGGGGCTTAAAATTCTAGTTGAAAGGCAAAACTAAATTCTGAAACTGCATTCAAGTTTTTTGTCTTGTGTTGGTCTTAGAAGCTGTCTTAGTGACTGCCTTTTCTTTTTGATTTTTTCTTTTTCTGTTTTGAATTTCCATTGGCTTGTTTTATTCTCTATCTATATGATTGAACAGAACTTATATACTTTCAGTTCTATTTGGCAAGGGTTCTTTGTTTTTATATGATCTTGCATCTGCCAGGAGTGTTATTTTATTTAATTTCCAATTTAATTACAGGCTGGTGGAAGTCAAGCACTTGGATCAGGTAGGGCACGAAGGGATGCTGCAGCTCGTGCCATGCAGGGTTGGCATTCCCAGCGCCTTCTTGGCAATGGTGAGGTTTGTCATCCAATCATTAAGGTGTGTCACCTTTTAATCTCTACATATGTGAATTTTTATCTTTCCATTCATTATTTTACCTTTTTCCTTTGCTGTCATGTCGATTGATTTCATCATAGGATGACTTTACATTTTTATTTTATTTTTTATTTAGGATAAGAACTTGAGTACTACACCAAAGGGTGACAAGCAGCTTAAAACAAATGGTATGACTGATTAACTGGTTCAGCATCTGCAGCACTTTAATTGCAAACATGGCTTTTCTCTCTGAACTTGACCATTGACTCAGGTTTACTGAAGCGTAAAAGGCTATCACCTGTTGAGGGTGCTGTCCACTTTGGTCACAAGAAGGCAATGAAATCACAGTTAAGATCAGTGGTTCCTTTATCGCATCAAGGCCTTGACATATTTGATTTGATGATTGTACCCTTACATTTAAAGTGCTGAATTTGGGTTTGTTTTGGCAGAGGGGATGCAATGGTCATTGATGTTGGACCCCCAGCTGACTGGGTAAAGATCAATGTGCAAAAAACTGTAAGTTTTTCCTTGCTTTCTTTCTTTTGGCACTTCAATAAAGGCTTCCCTGACCTCTCCTAGTGAACATCTGATTAAACCATTTTCTACTGCATGCAGAATGACTGCTTTGAGATATATGCTTTAGTTCCAGGGCTTCTGCGTGAGGAGGTAAGTCTCTCTCCCTCTCTCATGCACACGCACTCATACTCGCATATCCATCCAGTTTCTCAATTTCTATCACTACAACATGAGACTAATTGAGCTTTTTAAGTAAATTTCAAGTTTTGAGAGGTAAAATTTGATTGGCTTGGAGGCTGTGGTGCTACAAGATGAATTTTTTAGATGCAAATGGTGACTGGTTCCCATTGCTTTGGCCTTTGCTTAGCAGTAAACCAGCAATGCAAGGAAACTGACTTTCAAGTTCTGGTGCTTTCTGTCTTACCGTTTGGGGTTGCAGCCTCTTCTTTGAGCCTGAAATTTCTCTTCATTTGAGCATGAAAATTACAGAACCATCAATGAGAATAGCAATAGCAGGAGTATCTGTACCTAGGATGGCATATCAGCCTGATCCAACTAGGAGGTTCAGCCCAAGGGGTGTTTAGCCTGTTCTGCAACTTATACGTCACTAGCCCAATTTGATCCAACTAGGAGGTTCAGCCCAAGTAGATGTAAAAGCTTGTCTTAACCTGTTGCTGGTGACTGTATTTTGCTGTGCAAATTCTGTGCCAGCTTAGAAGCATAAATGATTGGTGGGATAGTAGACAATGTTCGATATTGCCTTCAATTGAGCTTGCTTTTGTTTCTTCTCCCTTCCCACACCCACCCCCACCCCCCCCCCCGCCGCGCGGGTATGATTGCTTTTCTAACTGAGTGGTAATAAATCTATGTATTTTAAGTCTATTCTATTTTTTGTTGTCAGGTGCATGTTCAGTCTGATCCAGCAGGACGTTTGATCATATCTGGCCAACCAGAGCATCTGGATAATCCTTGGGGTGTGACACCCTTTAAAAAGGTTCGTTAAGCATGAACTGAACTTATGTTATTTGCATTTGCTTGCATGGTTCATTGGACTTCTTCAGCAGGACATATCATTGAGAGTGTGGTGTAGAGTACAGACCGAGTTTTTTGGCCCTATGTTATTTATGCAAATATCTTAAAGCCTTGATGTATACATGTTCATTTTGCTGTCCATTTTGCTGTATACATGTTCTTTATTCTTCAATATAAAACTGGTATTCCTATAGACTCAAGTCTTAAAGCCTTGATGACCGAGCGTCTGCCTTAATTTGTGGATGGGTGTTTGTGGCTCCAGGTTTTAAAATCAGCAAGAGCCACATCCCATCTCTCTTCGTGCCATACTTGCTGCTATATCTTGCCAACTTCCAATTGGCCGGGGGGAAGAGTCAAAAGACTCGATTCTGTGTGTGTGCATATCCAAGGCAATATATGGTAATATACTAACATACTGTTTTGCTTTCAGGTTGTGAGTTTACCTATCCGAATTGATCCACATCAGACATCTGCTGTCGTCACCCTGCATGGCCAGTTGTTTGTGCGTGTACCCTTTGAGCCGTCAGATCTGTAGAATTCAGATTTGGCTGTCTCTTGAGCACGAGGGGAAGAAGAGACTTGGCTCTCATCTTGCTCCGAAGAGATGAAAGAAAGTACTGAGGAACTCTGATTTTGTAGTGTAATTTGTTTAGTCACACTCACCGTTGAAATTAGAGTATCTAATTGGATGTATTCCTTTACACTTGTTTTATGCTGTAATTAAGTAGTTGCATAAATCATCACAGTTGGATCATCAATAAACTATTTAAATATTTGGGTTTTTTTTTTCTCCTTCCCCTGCATAGGGACTAAAATGCCACAATATTTTTCTCCTTCCGCTGATGTGCGAGTACTTGATACATTAATTAAATTTTTTTATCCTATCGTAAAAAAATGCTTTATTCATTATTCATAAGAAATTACGTTATAAATTTGTACTTAATTCATATTCGGTTTGTATTAATTTATTTATTATTTAGTACTTATTTAATTTATTTAATACCAGTTAAAAATAATTTGTCAAAAAATATTTACTTTTAGTCTTTCAAACCTTAAGAAATTTTTTTTATCCTTAATTTATTTTTATTTTTATTATTATTATTTTTTTTTGTTGCATTTTAGTAATTTATTTATAAGCTTTTGGCCCTTAAAGTTTTTTTTAAAAAAAATATATATTTTACTTATTAATTTTTAAAGTTTATGTAGTTAGATTTTTTGTATGTTAATAAAAAAAATGAAATAAATTAGTGAGTATTAATACGATAAAGAGTGGGTGTTCATATTATAAAATTATATTAGTGAATATGTTTTTTTATCCTTGTTCTCTTTAATGCTAATTAATATTTTTAATAGTTATTTATTGAAGTAGATAAAATGGGTATTTGTTTTGTACTGGCCGTTGCCATCCCTACCCCTGCATAACACGCGTATGCATATTTGGTGAATCATAGAATCCATGCATTTAGTTAGTTCTCAGTGAAAAGGTTGATCGGTGATGATTCTTTTATTTCCTTTCCCGGTCACTTTTTAAGTCGCTAATTTATGCTCCTTGTGCTTGCTGCTTGATTATTTTCTGCAATTGACTGTTTTGTCAAATGCCGTATATATGATTAATTCAGTGCATGCTTATATAACAATCTGGGCAGAGTTTCTAAAGTACATGTGATGAATGCATTCAAATGGGTACAGAGTTGTAGAGGATTAGAATACTAGGGGCACTTTTTCTACTGAATTCTCACGAAAATTAACATCAACATTTGGCCTTCAGTTTACAGATTTTTCAGCATCCATCCATTCCTTTCAGGTTACCTATTGCTGACCTTCCAGGTTACCTATTGTTGAGCTTCCTAGTTTACAACAGTCTTTTACGAAATTACAGAAAGATACAAAAGTGCAAAATCTCGTTCTATCCCAAACCTTGGTTTCTTGACCTGTCTTGGATCCCGAAAATGGTACAATTTCAGTCACCAGTGGCAGTGGCGGTGCCGGCACTCAAGGGAAGTGAAACCCTCCCCCAACTCCATCAGTAGTTCCAGTTGGTTTTGGAGGACTGATGGCAATCCACAGCAAAGAGATTGTTATGGCAATAAGACCAGACCAAACAAACACAATGGTTGGGGTCTTCCCCTCCTCCCCATCAAGCCCTTGGCAAAAGGGTACAAATGAGCCAACACCCAGAAGCTAAAGAAAGCTCCACCAACAAACTTGCTCCACTGCGGAACTGTGCTATAAATCGTCCTTATAAAAGCAAAGGCCATGGCAATTATGTTTGTCATGGCAATCACAATGGGTGGAATCATCAATGATGTCCACTTTACTAGATACAAGTCTGCGTAGATATCATCAACGTCCTCTCCTGCAGACTTGGAAGTCAATGTGAAAGATATCTCAATTCCTGCAATCACCTTGAGAAGACCTTGCATAACTGCAGCAAAGTGGGCACTGGTTCCAGAGATGAGCCAGAACTGTTCGTTCCTCCACCACTCTTCCAACTCTATACCAGACCATTTCACCTCCAGAATAGCCAGAAGGATGAGGCAAATTGTTATGAGTAGCAAGTAGACTAAAAATGTGACGTCCAGAGTTTGGACAATGAAGTATCCCGAAAAAAGTGAGAGTGCAGGTAGGAAGCAATAGACGATCAAGAAAATCGAGGTGAATGGGTAAATGCCAACATTAAGATAAGCAAAGCGTTGGAGGAGTTTGAGACGCCTACTGCCCAAAAAGGCATTGTTTCTAGAGAAGAAAATCTCAACAGAGCCAGTTGCCCAACGAAGCACCTGGTGGAGACGGTCAGTAAGGTTAATTGGAGCTGAGCCCCGAAACGCATCGCGCTTGGTTATGCAGTAGACAGAGCGCCAGCCACGGTTGTGCATTCTATAGCCTGTCACAACATCTTCCGTGACTGAACCATAAATCCAACCCACTCGGTCTCCCCATTCAGTCTTGTCCTCATACCTGCATGCACCAGCAGAGAATAATGATAATAATAATAATAATAAGATAGGTGGTGAATATCTATATCTTGTGTGCGCGCATCTTCTTGTTAAAAATAAACAGGTACAAATAATACTGTAATTGCTAGCTAGAATTGATCATGGATGAAATGAAAAGTTTATGATACCAGCAAGAAATGACAGACACGGCTTCAGCAACTGTAGTGGCATCAAGCGGTTCACGAGGGACCCTCAACGCACCAGGAGAACGGCCATACTTGACAGCAGGATGATCAGCTAGTGGGCGGCCTTGGTACTCGGCAACAGGAATAGATTCAGCCAGCATTGTAGAATTCCCAAACCGCTTAGGTAGCAGATTGAAATCAAGATCAGGATCGAAGTCGGAAGGTGTTAAGGGATCCGTCTCTGATTCTTTCTTTTGCTCCATCTTGTTTGTATTCGGTGGATCAAATCCGTATAATGCAAATCTTCTAAACATGCAACCCGTTCCAACATAAACCGGGCCCTGTAAAGTATATACTCATAGCTGGTTAATCATTAATGCGTGTGTTGTTGTAATTAACATCATATACATATATTAGTCTTGGTTATTTTATTTTTTTAATTATAAGTACCTGAACTCCATCAAGGGCACGCATGTTTCCATCAAAAAACACGGTATTGCGATTAGCATATCTATCAGAAGGATCGATGCCTTCAAATCTCTGAGGGAACTGTATATAGCAGATATTTTCGCCACCTCTGTCCATCATGAAGCACATTCCTTCCCTGACAGCTTTGCAGTTGTAGATGTAGTGATCACAATCCAAGTTGAGAATGAACGGGCCATTGGAAAGAACGGCAGATGCTCTTACAAGAGCATTCATGGCACCAGCTTTCTTGTTATGGTCATAACCTGGTCTCTTTTCTCGCGAGACATATACAAACATAGGTAGACGTATGTCCACATCTGTAAAGTCTATAATCTTATCATCCGCACCTCCCATTAGTGGTTCATGGCTAGGAGGCTTCAACATCACCTGCATCCACATGATCACGATATATTATAATCCTGATCAAATTGTTTAGACTACAGGTTAATGATCAATAAAAATACAAAATGAATGAAATTAATGTTTGGTACCTGAAGAATTCCAGCGTGGTCACTTTTGGCATGCTCAGCAGCCGGGGAGGCCCAAGTTCCGGGCCAATGGGTGCCATCAGCCATCCATGTAGCTTTCGGGACCTTTATTTTCTCCGAAGGATCAGCTCCACTCTCCCTCATGTGCTTCAATATCTTCATTTCCTCCCTTGCATTGAAGGCATCCGATCTCCTCCTAATGGAATCTGGAAGCCCATTGATCCTCACCTTGAATTCATCATACTCCCTTTTCATCTTCCTTCTATCCTTCACAAAATCAAGCCTGCTCTTGTTCTTAGTCGGATCAACTTTTAGGCTGAAGTAGGTATCAGGGTTCCTTGGCTCAATATTATGTTTTCGACAGAAAGGCACCCACAAATCGGCAAAGCTTGCAGCCTCGGCCATTGCCTCGAAAGTGAGGAGCGCACCTCCATCATCAGAGACATAGCATGCCAACTTCTCTACAGGATAATCCACAGAGAGAATGGAAAGGATAGTGTTGGCTGTGACAAGTGGTGGCTCTTTATCAGGATCAGCAGTGGACACAAAGAGGTCGACGCCAGGGAGATCAGATCGGCCAGTGGGATTGGAAGGCGATGGCATGTCAAACTTATCACGGAGGACCTCAAGATCGGTGGACCGGTTGATAGGACAAAGTTTGGGAATCATATCCAGGATCCATGAGAAAGCAAACCATACTTCACAAACCACTGACATGCCCCACAGCCATCTTGCATCTTCATTTGGATTCCCGATTCTCCAATGCAAGAAGAAACCCAGCACCACCAATCGAACCAAAATCAGCAACCTGCAAATATGTGTATATATAAACACAAGGAAATGTTATGCAAACCACGAATTTTCTATTGCTTTTATAGTAGTTCATATCAGTTTCCTCTAAATTAACAAGACATTTTTAGTTCTGACAGTGTTGAATTAATGTTGCGTCCTTAATTATATGAGCAGATTATAATATATAAATTATCCAACATTAAGACACAGATAGATAGATAGATACATAGATATTACCTGTAAGGGCTAATAATGGCGTTGGAGACTGGCTGTTCGCGACTGAGAGGCTTCCAAGGCTTATCCATATTTTCTAAGACGCCGCCCGGGAACCCTTCATCGCCATCATCACCATACATGTCATCCTGGGGCCAAAAGGCATTCCCATAGCCGTAAGTACCTTGTGTCTCAAACAACCACCTGTTGTGATCAAAATCTCCACTTTGGTTTCTCTTCGTCATTGTCATGCTATTGTGATCACCGGCTTTACTTGGAGGTGGCAATGGCAGTGCTCCACTAGAAAAATTGGGTATTTCATCATCGTAATCACCCACCTTGTATGGCTCCTTGCACCCTGGACATAAACCAGTTTCTTTTTGGGCGTCCATGTAGCAATCCCTGCAAATTTTGAACCTGCAGAGCAAAACTAATTAAATATTTTTCTATAATGATATCAAATCAAAGCATGCATAATTGATTATTATCATACCTGCATTCACAAGGTATGACATCATTTCCTCTCTCGTCCTTCATGACCTTGCCATCACAAGCAGGCATTGCGCACGAAGAGCCCTTGGCTCCAGCCATCTGAGGATGAGACACCTCCGATTCTATCACCTTGTCCATGAGATGAGCGCGCGTAACGCTGTTGAACCCGCCTGTAAAAAGAGAATTGGAAACGTATTGCTCTTCGGCCTTGACCGCCACGGACGTGTCCATTGGCTGATTGTCGGGTGTGGGAGGAATCTGGACGGTATAGTTCATGTAATCCCCGGATAGTTCTCCAGAAATATCAATGTCTTCTCTTGATAGACTGACATAGCGACCGCTTGAAGTTCGTCTAGCGAATTTGACAGTTTGGCCGGTGGAACCCCGACTTCCCTGCTGGGAGCCGTTATTGCCGGTCCCCACTGGGCTACGTATGGCCTTCTTAGATGGTTGGGAGGATAGAGATGCCATTGAGATCACTTAACCTTGTAATTGGGCTGCTGCGCTCTTGTTTAACGTTTCTTGATTAATGGCCTAATTGATGAGACAATAAACGTAATAACACAACAACATTTGCTCGTCATCATCAAGATGAACAAATTTACTATAATTATAATTATGATGATGATGGATTTCTTGTAATTATCTAAGAAAAAAATCACCAGAAATGAAAAGCAAAAGAAGAGAAGAGAAGGAAAGGACTTTGGTTTTGGAGAAAATAAAAAACGAACGGCCGGGCTTGTTGAAAATATATTGGTTTGAAAGAAGAGAATAAGATATATACCTGTATAATTGCGTGCTAACAACAATATTGCACGCACCTACCTAGCTACGTAGACAGAGAGAATAAAAAGAAAGACATGAGATTAAAGGAATGGAGGTGGTAGAGAAGAAGGATTAATGCATGGCGAAAGTGGGAGGCACGTTGGAATGATGATATTAATTGGTGAGAAGAAAATAATTGGAATTAAGCGGAGGAGGCCAGGTGAGATCTATGGTGAGAGACCAAGTCTAATAATATCATATATTATGGCTGGCTGTCTTCTTGTTTGTTAACGTTTTTTAAGGAGATTGTTTTGGAGGGAGGAAGGGAGCAGTACGTACTTACGTAGGAGTGGAGGCAGGTAGACCGGCAGGTTCAGGGTAAGTGTATATATATATATATATATCGCTTCAATACTACCCCCGGCCCTCCCTCTTCCACGTCCCTATTTATATTTACACATTTACTACGTACGTACTCCCTGGTAATAGTTTTTGTTTATTTATTTTTTTATTTATGGAAAATTAGGAATTAGTTTATAAGGTCATATATTAATCAATTACTCTCTCTATCTCAATCTCACACACGCACAAATCCTATTTTCTATTTTTGCCTATACCTTAAATAAAGTTAAAGGTGAACGATCATTTTTATACCACAGGTTTTTACTATAACTAATTAGAAAGAGTTAATTTTTCTTTTTTTAATGAAAGGGTAATCTTGATATTTCCTATCAAATATAGGATGGAGCCGATCTGCATCATTGTCGATCTTTCTTAATTTGTGTGAAATAATTAGAAAGATTTTTTGACGAGATCGAAGGGGATCGGAAAAATATATAATACTAGCTAAGACAAAATAAGAATATCTCACTAATCTAATTAGAATAAATGATTAATTTTACACATCAATCAATATTTAATTTTACTTATATATATGACAAGTAAATCACTTGCATAACACTAATTAATATTCATCACTTTCGAATTCATTGGTACGTACGTAGATACAATGTATGTGTAAAATTGAAGAGATTAGTGCATGATTTTCGAGAGTATTTATTTCCTGACTAATTAATTTCAATCTTAATGTTTGTATAATTATTACACATTATACATACGACAGATCTCTTTAATTATGTTTCTTAATTTCCGTATATGGGTTATAATAAATAATTATGGATGTAATAGCTATTATGTTTTGTGAAGCAAATGAACTGATAATGGATCCATAATTGAAGTTTGTAACATGAAAGGGGGTACGTGTACTGTTGTGTTTGCGTGGATGCAAGATATATATATATATACATTAAGAGAAGAGAATTCGACGTGACACGAGATCACAGACTATATAAGAATTTCATGAAGAGGACCGAATATAATTAAGAATATACATATATATTATTTGATCATGCCTTGCCTTGCAAAATCAAATCAGATCAGATCAAATCAATGATATTAATAATATAATAATGTCATAATGGGATACCACTACGTATAATTATATGCCGTATGCGTACACAAACACAAAAATATCCCTTTGCTGGGAATCGACACCATATATCCCAGAATCTAAAGAAATTAGTTTATATATATATATATATATTTGTTAATTTGCTTCCATTTTTATACATCCTTATTTTTTGGGTTGATACGTACAATTATACGTAGCATGGTAACAAGTCCTCACAAATGTTGACTTATTCTTTGGGTTGACTCATACAAGCTGAGGCCTGCCAAACGTAGCATGAATTAAGTTAAGACATTAAAGCCCAGTAACGAGGCCTTACAAATGTCGACAAGGCCCAAAATTATTCGACTACTATGCACATCAACTTGAAACTATGGCTTTTATCGAGAAGCAATTTTCATTGACCCGTGAACTATAAAGGAGATGAAAACCATAAAAAAAATGTTTGTCACATTCAAGAGATTGGAGGGTAATGAATAACAAAGTTCTGTACATAAAAAGATTAATTATATTGACTATATATTAATCCGCATGTTATGCCTGAAAAAATAAGATATAGAATGTCAGATTGATGATGATTTAATTTGTATGTTAGACTTACTGATTTTGGGCACATGATCTTCAATTACTGCATTGTTCGTTTAGCTTTAATTACAAAGACTAGCTGATCTCTCATACATTTCTCTTCTACAAAATTTCCAATATTAATCATAACAACAATCTAAGAAATAGTGAATTTAATATTGATTAATCTTAAAATTGTTTCAAAAATATCTCATTGCCTGTAAATATTTTTTTTAAAAAAAAAAAAAAACCAACAACATTGTTCTAATTTCTTGTTCACCATAAAATAACAGTACTGGATTTCTGCACTTCTTCTAGATAGATCATGAACAAATAATTTAGCACCAATAACCATCGATCTGATATCTTTATCTAGTATTCTTGTTCTTCTTGAAATTAAAACTAATTAAAAGGCAAAAACTGATCTGGAGAACTTCAAATTGAGAGATTGGTTATTATCACTAGCTAGCTAGCTATGTACTCATTTAAAATGGAAGCCAGCTGAATTACTAGCACCACTCCAAGCAAAAGCATCTCCGTGGCCAGGACCGGCAAAAGGGTAGCTCCCCATACCGTTCACTCCCAAATTATAAAAAGGTACGCCTCCACCGCCAATACTCCCGTCGTTACCACCATCACCCCGCTGCCCCCCACCTGATCCGGTCACTCCCGACGACTGTGAGGCTGTTGGCTGATGCACCTGTACTGCTGGTACTGACTCTTGATCCTCCTCCAATGGTAACCTATCATACACTGCATTTGCGAAGGTTGCTGCTACCAAAACCACAGGACCTGAAGCCATCAAAGGCCCCACCACACATCCTCCCACTACCTGTCCCTGTCCTCCTGCAAGAAATATAGAAAGACCGCCTGCTCCAGGTGGTGCTGGTGGTGGCAGTGATGTCCCAGTTAGGGACAAAATCTCAAACCTTCCGTGCAGCGTTATCACAGCAGCACTAGTACTCCCGCCACCTGGCTGTCTCAAAGTTACGTTTGTGACCGCTCCGCTTCCGCTAAGAATGCAAACTCCATGGGCGCGGCGCCTTGCATAGTTTGACAGTGACTCAACTATGTCTGAACCCGGGGATATTTCAAGTAGATGAGATCTTAAAGCATTTGGGGTGTCCTGAGAAATGATTATCGGGGGCTTGGCCTTGTTCTTTGAACCAGAAGGACGGCCGCGAGGCCTGCGTCCAGAGGAAGACCCACCAGCACCTGAACTACTTGTGGTGGCAGAATCAGGGTCATTCCTTTCTTCTTTATAATTACCTGGTGGTGGAGTTTTCGCATCTCTTTGAAGTTGCAGTTCCGGTCCCAGAAGCTGATGAGCAGCATATCGAGACCCTGCAACTGCAGCTGGGCTTGCTTCCAGGCCGGACATTAATAGTTAATTCCCACCTACGTACTGCTGCTGCTGCTGCAGATGATGATGATCAAAAGACCCTGCACCTCCAGCCAGAACCTTGCGCTGTGACTTAATGATTGTTGGCAATGAATTGATGCAACTGGGCTTGCGTGGTATCTAGTAAACCTTATCCATTAATCTTAATTAAAATTCGAAATCAAGAAAGAAGTCATGGATGGGAGAAGAGGAGATCCAGAAGCTTAAGAAATAGTTCAAATTAACTGGCAAGCTTATTTTATATATCTATAAGATGTAAGATATAGTAATATATATTCTGCAACTTTATATTATTTAAATATTTAGGTATTTGGTTTTTGGGAAAAGTTTGGTTGAAGGTATGAACGCCAACTTTGAATGGGTTCAAAGAGAGGAAGTTAAGGGACGAAAAGGTGGAATAGCTGATGAGAGAGACAGAGAGAAATATTTTATTAGCAAAGCAAATTGAAGAACAGAGAAACTTCGCTTTCGTGACAAAGAAGACATGGAAATTAGTAACTTCATGTATGGAACCGTGAGCCTTTTACCCCTACGTATATAAAATTATAGGATATAACTTTTTTTAAACTCAAATATTAAACTTTTATTATGATTTAAACTCCTAACTTCTTATTATAAAAAATCACTATCACTAACACAATAAATTTATTTATTTATTCATGGTTCAAAGCTAGCTATGTACTAATAAAAAAAAAAAACTCCATTTTTTATTCAACAAGTAGAAAAAAACTCAAATCTTTCCAGTCATTCACGACACATCTTCACATGCAAGTAGATTTAGAATAATAGTATGTATATTCGATAATTTTTTTCCGATGATATTATATTTGAATAATGACACTCAAAATTTCCTTATGTAATTATAATTTAATAAAAAAAGGAATTATTGATAGTATGTAGACGAAGGTTCAATAAATCAAAAAAACCTTTAATTGTAAGAAGAGAGCTAATTTATTTATTTAGCAGAATAATCCTAGACTTGTTTAAAAAATAATAAATAAATAATAATAAATCTAAACCTCTAAAAAAAGCTTTAATTATTGAGTTCATGAGGTTTTTTTTAGCAAGATTTGCTTATTTACTATAGTATGAAATTATTTGAGAAGTCATTTTAGCAAATATATATATATATATATATATGGCCAAGTCCTAAAGTCCCTTCCGACACCTCTCACGTGTCTGGCACGTTTGGCCACAAATCTTGTCCATCGTCTCTGTCACCTTCGTAACATTTACATGCATTCATCTCTTTTCTCTTCTGCGAGCTTGCAGTGAGTTTTAAAATGCAACGCGCTGTACCATACAAGGATGGATTAAAGGAAGTCGAGACAATTTAATACTCTTTTTCAACAAATCAACTCCTACTAATTCCGACATCAATGTCGTCATCATCTTGATTAATACTATATTTTGAAAGCTGTGCCTAAGGCACAACGGACTGTACATTTGTCCCATTAATTAATTAATTAATTAAACAAAGTAATTAAAAAGCAAATCCTGTTCAGCTGCTTTGTTAATCTCTTCTAAAGCTATACATCACTCACATGCTATGCATTTTGATTTGGATACAATGCCTTTCTTGAGCCACGGAAAAGGTTAGCACCCCAATAATTAACAAGCACACCAGTATATATATATATATATAAGGTTAACAAACAGCACTTCGAATTGATTGGTGCAAGTGGAGCTACAATGATTTATTTATAGCTAACTAGGTTAATTTATGGGAATAAAGTACTGCCAAATACCAATCACTACTTTAATATATATTTCTTCCTTTTGGCTAAGATCAAGTGTGCTTGTAGGACTTTAAATAGGTGCATGACGGAAAGTGTAAGGATAGGTTTTCAAAATTCACTCCTTTTTCTAAAAATTAATAATAACAATAATAATAATTCCCACCAGCTCCAATTTATTATTTTTGGTCGGAAACAAGGGCCCAAGAAGGTAGCTAGATGGCCCAATGCCTAAGGTGGTAGAAAAGCATCAAGAACCAGAAGGATATATAGGCTAGGCCTATGACTTTATGATCTGGACTGCCAAAATTAATGACCCAATGGCTCTCTATCTAATCTCATTATGAATTTTCTACAATCGCGAGGATGGCTATGTTCGTTATTTACCCAAAGAAATCGAACCCTGAATGGAATTAAATAAATATTCTTGTTGGAATTATTATTAAACAAGCACCAATTATGCGGAGCCAGAAAATAATGGTAAGGTGGATGCTTCCCATGAGACTTCAGTGCAACTTCTGTGGAAGTTGCACTGCTGAAGGCAAGGAGTTCAAATCACGTGAAGAAACTCTAGTCGACGAAACTTACCTTGGTGTCAAAATATTCAGGGTTTAATTTCTTCAATTGCCACTACCCTGGTCGCAATTTTGCCTAAGAAGCGGAGTTGCATCAATTTCTAGACTTGTTAATTTGGAGAGGCGTCGCATGGCTGTTGAGCTTGGTAGATACTTCACTTTTGAACACTCTCGAATAGAAAGGTGTTGAAGAGAAGAAAGGTTTCCCAACCAATCTGGCAGTGCTTCCTCCAATTCCTCTCCTATGAAAGGTAAAATTGCATATCAGTGCTTGTGATGAATTGAGTCATTTATCTGGTGAATTTCATGCCTCCACGCCATCATCTCTTAAATATTTAAGTATATTTAGTTGTGATAATCTGGCATCTGTACCAAGCCTACAACACTGCACAGCTATGGAGGAATTGTGTATTCATGTTTGCCATAATTTGGTGTCTTTTAGTCTTGGTGGTGAATTGCAATCTCGCAAAAGAGGAAGCATCTCTTCTTGTGGGAGAATAACAAATAGTCTTCCAATTAGGAGGCTACCATCCTGCCCCTCTAGAGGTATCGAGGATCACATATTGTGCGAACTTAATCTGCTTTGAGGATGATGATGATGATGTATTTGGAGGAGGAGAATTGCTGCCACCTTCTCGTCTTCGATCGATAGAAATTACTGGGTGTCATAAGCTCACGTCTGTTCCTGATGGTTTATATAGAAGGAGATTACAATCTCTAGTTCGATTAGAAATCTACCAGTGTTGGTGTTTGAGCTATATTCCGGAGGATTTCTTTTGCAGCCTCACCCAATTGAAGCAATTGATAATTGGTGCTTTCTCAAAGGAATTGGAGCCGTTTCCTGGTATGAATTCAATCCAACACTTGAGTGGATCCCTTGAAGAGCTAGAAATAATGGGATGCGATAAACTGAAGAGTTTACCACATCAACTTCAACATCTCACTTCCCTCAACAAATTGTGGATAAGGGAATTCAAAGGAGAGGAATTGGAGGAAGCACTGCCAGATTGGTTGGGAAACCTTGCTTCTCTTCAACAGCTTACTCTTAATTGGTGTTCAAAAGTGAAGTATCTACCAAGTTCAACAGCCATGCAACGCCTCTCCAAATTAACAAGTCTGCTAATTTATGGAACTCCGCTTCTTAGGCAAAATTACGCCAAGTGTGGTGGCTCTGAGTGGCCCAAGATTTCTCATATTCCTGATATTTATTTATCCGCAAGCTTGAATTTCTCAAATCTATGTGTCTATCTACAATTATGTTTATTTTTTATGTTGAATTTAATTGATTATTCGCTCACACAACTAATTTTGTAGGACGACTAGAGCACAACTCCTCCAGTTAAATAAATAGCGAAGGTGCGTGGGTGCACAATCTCAGGTGGGTTTTCTCTTCAAACTTTTATATATACTGTCGTCTTCCTTTGCAAAGCTGATGATAACCGATTCCTTTATAACTTAATTTAATTGTAGACTTCAATGGTAAATAAAGATCCAGTGCAACAAAGTCAAGGCCTCCACGCTCTACAGAGTACTCTCAGTTGAATGTGGTAGAAAAGGAAGGTAAGGTCTTGTTGGGTGAGTAAAGTTAAGGGCAAGACTGCAACAGATCTGATGTTTGATCCAATATAACATGAAAAGGAACGCACAACAACACACAAGATAGAAAACTGACCATCCTGCTCACTAAAGCTGTGTATTTGTGACATTCTCTTTGTGGTTATAATTACTTCTTTTATGTTTCAGTTTATTTTCTTACTAGCTTTAATTTCTTTTTCATTTTGAAACAATCACAGTCAAGGAGCTAACTGCAGTAAGGGGTCATTATGTTTTCAGAATGCTAACTGTGATTGGAATTTGATTATGTTTAGCTGTGCAAAACTCTGCTCATTCATCTGGTATGGGGTTTTTTGCACAAGTGATACAGAAACTACTCTTGAATTTTTCTGAAGCTTAGCTACTGTTGTGAGACTTAAAGGAAGTGAGCCGGTGTGAGTTTCATTGCAATCCCATAAGCAGATGTTTTCTCTGGTCGATGCTTCTCCTGATTTTATGTTCTGGAAGGAGAAGCAATCGATCAAGATATCTTCAACTGATGCATCTCTCTGGCATTTTAAAAAAATGCCTCTGCCTTCACTAGGGGTTTAATCAACTGTGGATGTTTTGTTAGGTCTCATTTTTTTGAAGATGTGCATTAGTTCTACCAGTTGTTGAACTTTTTTGTATGAATTGCATTGCTAATTTTATCGGTGGTATTTTGTTTCAATAAGGTTATACAATTTGGGAGCCATGGTTAATGCAAATGGTGCAAGATGGTCCTTGAGGTAAATATGCACCTAGATAGTTACTTCAATTAGTTAAGTTCTAAAACACTTTTGAACTTTATTTTATTCAGTGCAATGCTCTGCTCATCAATGCAGCATGGGGTTTTTGCAAAGGGAGATATATGAATTGCTTTCGAACCCTGCTGAAGCAGGAGCTGCCGTTGTGAGACTTGAAGGAGTTGATCTGCTGCTGTGTTTCTTATTTAAAATGTTAGTAGTATTAGCTAATGAATGCAGTGTAATGTACTTTCTACATGAGCCTTTGGTGACATATATCAGTGTTTTAAGGGTATTTAGTAGGAATGGGAAAGGGATGGATTTTCTGCAATAGCAAGGAATTCAAGTTA